AGATAGTCTATATTAGCTTTATAATAGATAAAGTAAATAGAAGTAGCTTTAGTTTAATTTAGTAAGTAGTTACTAAAAAGCGTGTTAATTATAATAGTTAAGATTATAATAATTTATTATCTATTTCTAGCCTAATCCCTCTTAGAGGTAGAAGTTAAATAATTATAAGGTATATTAGCTAAGAGCCTAGATTAAGGAAAAAGATAAAGGTTAAATTAATAGATTAATTAATTAATTAATAGGTAGGGGTATCTATAGATATAGAATTTAACTTAGCTACTTTAGCTAGCTAGCTAGGCTAAAGGGTAATATATATATGTGTTACTAGCTAGGCTGACGTATTGCTAATTAGCTAGTAATTAACTAATCTATAGGTATTCTGCCCCTTAGCTTAGGGATCTTATTACACTAGCCTTACTATCTTTAGGGGTCTACCTTATAGTTATACTAGCTGTTATACTTATAGTTAACTTAATATTAATTATTACTACTATTATGTAATAGGGCGCTAATAGTAATGCGCCTGCTAATAGACCTTCTAACGCCTAGCTCTACCTAATTAAGCTAGAACGCTAAAAGATCTACTAATACTTAAGTAGTCCTTACTAAGTACTGCTGTTAACACTACTTATATAGCTAATTACTAATTAATTAGGGATTATTACCTTGTGATAATATACCCCTCTCCTCTATACCTTATCCTTAAGGTATCTAGGTATCTCTAGTAATATAAATCTCTAAGGCTTAAGGTTGCTAACGTGATTAACCTTACACTCTGTAAAAGGTAATCTAGCTAACCTCCCCTTAACAGCCAGGTGCCTAACTAGAATTAAACCCTAAGCCTCTAGCTTATTAATTTAATCCTGCTAACGTTTATCCTAACTATAGGAACTTAAGCATAATTGTAATAGGGCGCTAACAGTGACGCGCCTGCTAATAGACCTTCTAACGCCTAGCTCTACCTAATTAAGCTAGAACGCTAAAAGATCTACTAATACTTAAGTGGTCCTTACTAAGTACTACTGTTAACACTACTTATATAGCTAATTACTAATTAATTAGGGATTATTACCTTATAACATATTATTACTAGTAATAAAGTGTAACTATAATTTATAGTAAAGAAGTAAATTTACTATAATACTATATAGTTATATATAGAGGCTACTAAAGGTTAGGGGTAGATTAAGGATAGTAATAAAGTATTTAAGTATACTATAGTAGTAAGTAAGTAACTACTTATAATAATCTTTATTATATAAGGTGCTATTATAAGTAGTTACTTATACTAGCTAGGTAATTTACGTAATAAGTAATTTAAGCACTTTAAGCTTACTTTTACTAGTGTTTTTTTTAGTAATTAAATTAAATAAGGTATAATAAAGCTTAGTAAGGCGTAAAAGGTGTACCTTATCCCCTTTAAAGCGTTATTTAAGCTTTACTATTATTATATTAAAATTATTAGAATAACTAAGTAATAAGGTAGTATAATACTTATATATATAAAGGTATAGGTAGTGTACTACACCTGTTAATAGACTATTCTAGTATTACTAAAAGATCAATCAGTTCAGGCACTAAGTGCCTAAAATACACCACACATAGCCTTATAAAGGGTAACCAGGCTAACCCCTTATAATTACCCCCCTTCTAATACAACACGTCCTGAGTCGCTTTAGGCCCACGTGCACTGGCGCCGGTAACCGTGCGCTGGAGCACAAGGTCATGTTAACCCCAAAGGCCCTAGGTAGCCTGGCGTCTGGCAGCAGCTGCCAGACATTGCCTCCCTGCACCTAGTCCCTCTGAGCCTAACGTAAGCTGCCCCTCATTCATGCCTAGCCAACCAATCCACTGATTGATGACCTTCCAGCCCCTTAAGGCCTACACTAAAGAGAGTCTCAACAGGCGGGATTCAAACCCAGCCCCTGTTAACAGCCAGAAGACCCACTTAGTGCCTGAACAATTATAAAGGTATAGGTGGTGTGCCACGCCTGTTAATAGACTATCCTGGTATTGCTAAAAGATTAATTAGTTTAGGCACTAAGTGCCTAAAATACACCACATATAGCCTTATAAAGGGTAACTAGGCTAACCCCTTATAATATAGCTCCCCTTTAAGTATTACTATTACTACTACGCTATAGTAGTTTTATAGTATACTTATATAGACATAAAGGTTATAAAAAAATAGTAACTTTAAGTTAATAGTTTTATATAAGCTACTATTATATATTAAACCTAGATTATTTATATAGAACTTTATTAAGTTTATTAATTACTTTAGCGTTAGGCTATATTACTTACTTACTATTATAGTAGTTATAGTAGGCGTTACTACTTATAAAAAGCGTAGTTAGACTTAAGCCTTATATATTATTACTATTATTTAGGGTTTTTATAGTAATAAGGCTTAAAAAGGGATAAATAATAAGTTATTATATAAAGTTACTTTAGTAACTACTAGTAATCTATAAGTAGTTACTTATTTATCTGCTTTAGCTATAAGTATAGCCTTAATAGGTAACACTACTATATTAGTAATATCTTTATAAAAATTAGTATCTATTAGCTGTTTTTTAAACCTTTTTATCTTATAGGTAATAGCTACTATTATTTCTTTATTTTATATAACTTACTTATTATTATAGGTAGCTTTATAAATCTATAATATAACTATTAAATTTTTTAATTAGTTAATTTATAATCTTTAGCTAGTAAGGTAGTTATATAACTCCTTAGTTACTTTATATAGTAATATAGTAAAATCTTTAACTAACTAATCTTTAAAGTTAAATTATACCTTCTTTTAGAAGATACTATATAAATAGTTATAGTATTTATACTTAGAGATATAGAATATAGTAATAGTAGTAAGCGCGTTCCTCCTCTTAGTAGCTATAAGATCTTATAGCAGCTTAGTAATATAGTCCTTTTACTATCTATTAGTAAAGATAAATTCTTTTAGTCCTTTAGGCACTTAGTATCTTCTTATAATTACCTCTACTTACTTAGTAGCGTTAGGTAGTAGTATATACTTAGGTTAAATTACCCTAGGCTGCCTAAAAGCGTTATTACCTTATATGTTATTTATACCTTTTTTACCTTAGTAGCTTATCTTAGTTACTTACTTATAATTACCCTCTGTTAGCCTAACTACCTCTTAGTTATAGGCGTTTCTCTTAACTATTATTAAAGGGCGTATATATCTATTAGAGGATTTACTACTAGTAGTATAGATAATTATAAAGACTTATAGTTAAATAAAAACTTAAAAAAAAAAGTTATAATAAGCTTATAAATAATAAAGGCTATTATATTAGTAATATAAAATAACTTAAAGAAAAATAAGAAAAAATATATAAAAAAAAAGTTAGTAAGCTTTATAGGCTTATAATAAAAAAAAGGTAAAAGGTAAATAATTACTAATTAATAATAAGTTAGCATATAAAGTAAGGTGTTTTTTATAGTTAAGAGTGCTTTTTATAAAGTAATAAGGCTTATATATATAGATATAAATTACTAGGCCTTTACTAACTATAGGAGGTTAGGTATTATTATCTTAGTAATTAACTTATAAGGGCGTGTAGTATAATAGCGTTATAAGGGTATTTATAGTAACGTTTTTTAGTAAAGCCTACTCTAGGCCTCTATAAATAGTTAATAGTGTTATTACCTCTTCTTATAATACCTTACTAATCTATAGTATTTTTAGTAGTAGTTATAGTAAAGTTAACTACTAATTAGTGTTAGTTTTACTAAGGTAGTAATATAGTTAACTGTATGTATTAATAGGTAGTAATAAATAATAGGGGTAAATACTGGTTCTGAATTATGCGTAAAGAAGGAAAACTATTGTGGGATTATGTGGCGAATTCACTGTGTAATATCCCTGTGGATCCGGTGGATCCACGGCGAATTGGCCGTAGTTATTCCGGCCGATCGGTGTTAATCTATACCGCCGATATCCAGGCGATGGTCAACATCGTAACAGCTTCCAATATTATGATTCCAATATAACAGAGCGCAAGAATTTGCCTAGAAACAGCTTCTAGGATTTATGGACAAAACTTGCCTACTATGATTGCTCTGCTGGATAGCCTCGGCCTCGCGCTGCAGACGGAAGTATTTGGTGATGCTGTTCCCTGCGTAAGAGTTTACCAGTATATTTTCCGAAGAGAACGAATGGGATTTCCCGAAGTCCCAAATCCTGAGCTAATGGAAACAGCGTTAACCTATTTTCACTTTCCGTTCCTCGTGCTCGCAGCGCGGGCAGGCGTGGTGGAATATGTTAGGCACAGAGCTTCACCTGGGTGCTTGGAGAGATGGGGCTATCTTCACCAGCAGAAGCGAGTCGGTAGGGCCACGGAAATCTTTTTGAAATTCTCGAGAGGCTGTATAACAGATGAGAACCCTTTATGGCGGCTTCTGCTTCTTGACGCAGCCCCTCTAGCCTACTCGCAACCGAAAATGGTTGAATGCTGTCTTGAGAAGGGTGCTGATGTCAACTTTCGGATTAATAAAAAGGGATTGACTGTCTGGGTAGTTATTTTAAGTAACATCCTGGCAGATATGATTCCGGACCGCAAGGAGGTGACGAGACAACGGGGAGAGGCTGCTTTGGTGCTATGGGAGCCTTCGATGAGATTGCTCACTGGCCACGGAGCAAGCGTAAGCAAAAGGACTGTGAGGAAAGCCTTAACTTTGCCGGAAGAAGAATCCCAAGGTTTTAAAGGGGAGCTTGAGAACAAAGAACTTGTTGTAAGCTTTACCAATCCATCCAGCGCATCAAGAACGAGGAAGAACATCGTTGATACAACTACTCAAGAGAGTTAGAGATACAACCAGAGGGACTATAATTAGGGGGTTTATTGAACTTGCGAACACCTAAAATAGAAGAAACTCCCCACCGTTACATAGCAACCGGCTAATCTTGCAACTGCACGCGCTATAGAAGGCCCTTCTCCGGCACACCATACCTGAAAACATCCCCCGTTTGGCATTCAGATTTCTCCTGATGGCTTCCCAAACCCTTGCAACAAAGCTTCCAACTCCCTCATCCGCAAAAAGGCATCTTGAACCGTAGACCACTGCCCATCCTCCTCAACATTCCCCCTCCCGGCCTCGGCCCACCTCGCAAACCTCTCGTATACCTCACCAACATTCCTCGCCCGGACCGGCAACTCCTTCTGCCACCCCTCCCAGTCCCACGACACCTCCTCCACTTCGTCCCTCTCATGGTCGTGGACCCGGATTACGACCGGCTCATCGTACGAGTCCGAATGCAAGTACGGGCCCGCGGGGCTCTCGACCTCGACCTCCCCCTTCTCCCCGACGATCCTCCACACGAGAGCAGACCGCCCCTTGAACGGCGGCCCGTTCCGGAACCGAACTGCCAGCGTCGCGCCATCGACGGCGACGGTATCGTCGTCACGTCCCCGCAGGGCCCCGTGGAGGGCGACGAAATCAGGCACGTCTGACCGGACCCGCCGCGCCGCGCCATCGCCGAGGAGGACCCTGACCTCCGCCCGCTGGATCTGCAGCCGGCTCTCGAACCCGCCGTCGAACTCCCCGACCACGTGGTGGACGTAGTCAATCATGTGCCCGAACGCGATCGTGACGGGGTTCCCGCCGACCTTCCTCTCGGCGAAGTACGCCAAGCCTTCGGGGAGTTCGTCCCGCGAGAGCAGGCTGCCGTACGCCTCGACGTCGCTCCCCAGAACTTTGCCGATGCAACCGGACAGAACGACATCCCTGATGCGGAGCACCACCCGGGCTGCCCGCCCTTGCAGCCCCACGATGCTGCCCCAGCTGGACTGCGCGACCAGCTGCGCGAGCGCCTCCGACCTCTCGAGGTCCTCGGCGAGGGGCCACTCGACGTACACGGCCTTACCCGCTCTGGCAGACGGCGCGACGACGTCAAAATGCGTGTCGACGCGGGTGCTGCAGACCACCAGGTCGACGTCGGGGTCCCGAGCCAGGGCCTCCGGGTCGCCGTAGGCTCTGACGTCGTCGGGGAGGCCGTAGTGGCCGCGCGCGGCCTCCGCGGCTTCGGTGCTGGAGTTGAGGAGCGCAGTGACGATATAGTGGCTGCGTCCGCGCGGGGAGAGGAGGTACGGGAGGTGGGCCTCGGCGGCCCATGATGTCGTGGCATTGGCGGAGAGGCCAACCAGGGCGACGCGGATGGGAGCCATTTTTTATTTCTTTGAACACGACAGAATGCTCTTTTGCGAGAATATGCGAGGAAGCCGAGCTATAGATTCAAGCCGTCTGAGTGTAATCGACCAAGGAACAAATTTCCCCAGTTTTAGGGTTGGTCACCACTTATATAGACGAATATTTTCCTACACTTGTGAGATCACCGGATTTCGCATTCCGCTTGAGCTATGACCATCCAGGGTGCAACAACCAAAAACCGAGCACATTAGCAATCACGCAACGAGCTGTTCCGCACTTCTCGTTTGTAATCTCGGTACAAAATGACAAGCTGGCGAGATCCGCGGAGCGCAGTTGACGAGGGAGGCATCCTCCTTGATGGAAAGACCATCAGCAGGCATTGCGGCGGGCCCCACTCTTTGCCGACCCGGAGCCGGACCCAGCACTGTTGTTCCGGGTTATTATGGAGCATCAATCGCGCTCGGACCCGCAACCTCCGTCCGTACCCGGTATCCCGGCTCTCACGGCCCGGTCCGAGCATCGAGGACAACAAGAAAAACAAGCAGCCCCCAGCGGCCCGGATAGCCGCGTTCTGCGCGTCGGTCTCGGTATCGGGCCCCAATCGGGTTCCGACGATCTCCCCAATCACGATTCGCCATCTCACATACCCGCCTCGCCGGGCGTCAAAACTGCACCCATCCGAGGTTGACCCATGTATAGCTCCTCGAGTCCTCTCTAGACAAGAGCGCCCAATGGATCCCCCCCCCACCGACTGGCTTGACCCGGCACCAACAGCATCCAAAAGGCGGCCTGCAGCCCGCGAGCCAGCGAAGCCCCGGCAATGCACCTGCCCGTCCCCGTTTGCCACATCGCACCCCCGCGTGTGGTGTGCCTCTCCCACCTAGTTTAGGTTAGGTTAGGTAGAAGTCCGAACATTTCCTCCCCTTTGCCCCTCTGTATCGCTTGTTGTCTCCCTCTGTTTCCTCCCCTCTTACCCCCCTCCTCCACTCACGGTTGTCCGAGAGTTCTAGACAACCCATCCCGATTCTCACAAGAGCCGTAAGAAAGCCACCAACCCGCCAAGCCCTGTCCCCCCTGCTTCATTCTCGAAACCTCCCCACGCGGCAACGCGCATATACACGTTTCCGCCCCCGTGACTTCTCATCCAAACAACGTTCCACAGACTCCCCTCCATCAAACAACAACCGAGCATCGGTGGCCGCAGGAAGGAAATCCCACGCAACCCATTCATTCCCCGCCTACATCAATTGCCGCCGCCGCCCCGACCTGCACCTACCCTCCGTCTTTCCACCATTCCGACGCGAAGATGTGTCTGCCGGACCATTGCACTTCACCCAAAACCAGTGGGAGGGGGGCTGTCTGCTTTGCTCCTCCGCCCGCCCCACCCTCGGTCGTCCGTACTGCGTAGACTGCGCCAACGCCTTCTCCCCGATTACCACCATCCCAACGACGGACCTCTGCCGATACCCATGTAGCGTCCCGAGGCATAACTTCTGCATGCCCATGACAGTGCTAGGAGGAAACGCAAAGAAAAAGCAGCCAAAGGGAAGAAAACCCAACAAGAGGCAGCTTGCAGGCGAACCGTAAGCCCCCCTCTTCTTCTTGGTCTTTCAAGGCTCCTACATCCCTCCCAATTCCAACTCTTCACCGTCCCCCTCTCTCTCCTATCCTCCAAGGGATTTCCAGCAAAGGCCGCGGCGACTTGCATTTGAAACGCGTGGCGCTGAATGCCACGAGCCTCGCCAGACGTTCCCCCTTCACCCGCGGCAGTGATAGATTAGCATACACCATGCCAACAGGAAGGTAGGCGAGAGGGTGTCCGGCTCCAAGAGGCCAGTATGCGAGTTGAAGGCGGCCGTTGATGGAGTAATAACAGGGCTTACTGTCTGGCAGTCGCGGTCGATGGGCCCACGTCAGTTGCTTTCGCGACGCGCTGAGTACGAGAAGGACGGCCCTCAAGTGACCGACATGTCGTGGTCCCCCAGTCCGCGAATTGCTGACGGCTTCTGACGAGGGGGGACGAAACAGAATACGAACGTGGCAGTCACATGGAAGAGAAGCGAAGCGATTGTCAAGTAGTTTGATTGAAGCCATCACATGATGACATACTACCACTCAAGACCAGCCTGAGACTGAATGCTGGGCCAAAAACGACCTCAGCCGAAAATCTCCCGAAGCGGAAGTCTTCTTACAAGAAACAACTCTGTACAAGATCTCAACCGAGGTCGGTCCTCCCATGGACCCGGTCCTCGTTTCTGTGATACGCCTAAGAAAATGAATACACCCAACAAATATGTTGCCACATCCAGTGGCCCTGAATCTGTAACTCCGGTTCGGCTTTTTCGAGTCTAAGTTTGTTTTTGTCCCTCACTTTTTTGTTTTTAAACACCTACTTCCAGTGGCCCCATATGTTCCTCCTATAAAAATGGAAAGTCTCTACAGGCCTCGATCACCGGTGGGGGGCACCGTGCCATTCTAGACAGCGAGGATACTAGATAATAGAAATAAAACAGTAATATTTGTGAATGGCCCAAGGAAGGACCCTTGGTTCGAAAAAACGGCAAAAGGAAAAATGTCGTGTCGTAAAATGTCGTAAGAGACGTGGCCTAGCCAAGGCGTGTGGTGTGGTAAAGGAGCGACGATAGTCGGGTATCTCGAAAATAATAGGCTGTAAGGAAAAGGATAGTGAACCCCGATGTTGAACGACAGTCGATGTCGTCCTTGCTTCAGGTCATTAATCGTAAAGGTAACCTCTTCCGCGCCCCTAGACTCGCATCTGCGAGCCCAAACTCGGAAGCTGGTTTGTGGAGAAGAATCTGCAACCAGGATAATTCACTTGCGAAAGCCGACCTTTTCAGCCAAGGCGCGCCAGAACCGAGCGCTTCTACGCTCCTCGCTTCTGGTGCGAATCATCTTGGTGTCACGCTCCATAGGCCCGACAATGTCTTCGTCGCCGCGTGCAGGGAATTTGCCCTCGGCATCAACAAGACGAGGAATCGCGGTAGGCAGGCCGTCTTCGAGGCGCCGCCATTGCATGTTGGCAAAGGCATCATCATCGTTAACCGGCCGGCGCAAGAAGCCAGCGCCACCGCTGCTCGCGCGGACTCGCCCGCGGCTGCGGCTGCGAGAGACGTCCGATCGTTGGGTGCTAGTCTTGCTTGTGGCGACAATGTTTTCCATCGTCTGATCGTGGAAGGTACGCCAGCTCCTCTCTGTCTCGGCCCACTTCGCTTCAGTCAGCGCGTAAATCTTCGACGTCTCGCCATAGTTCTCGCCCGTGCGGACTAGGTGCTTCGTGTAGTTGATACGAGCGGCTTCCCAGTCTGCACGCAGGAGGCGAAGAGATTCCATATCGGCTTCGACCGGCTGGTAAGGTTGGGGCGTGATGGTGAAGTTGGCATGGCCTAGACGGTCGGACCACTCGTCGCGATCTTGCACGATGGATGGGAAGCCGATGGGGAGCTCTTGACCGGACTGCATGTGGCGGAAAGAAGAGACAGAGGGCCTCGTGCTGAGTGCAGGCGTAGGAAGGTGAGAGAGCGACTGAGACGAGGGGAGGTCCATCATCAGGAGCGGCGAAGGCGCTACAGTGGGAGACTGGAGAGGACTAGGATGAGGGGCTTCAGCCGGTGGGGTGGTGAGAAGTGGGGGAAGCAGAGGCGTCGTTGCCAAAGCACGGTCACGCTCAATGCTGACTCTTTCGTTGTTGGCCTTTTCGATGTCGATGGGGGGAGGGATATCCATGCTCTCCCTGCTTTCCCAAACAGAGGTGGCCGGGGTTGGGATCGGGGGCTCGCTGATGCTGTCCATGTGCCGTGACGGGCCGGAGAGGGAAGAGGATCGACTTGATGCAGCGCGAGATACGGAGTGGACATTCTCGAATGAAAGTCCAGTGGTAGGCGAAGCAGTCAATTGCGAGCGCTTTGTAGTAGATTTCCATCGTGACAAGTTCGGGAAGCGCGTTCCGAAGCGGGTGGCCAAGCCAGAAAAGGACGACTCGGCGTCACTTCGCTTCCGTTCGAGGGTCGCGGTAAAATCGCTGTCGCTGGCAAAACCCAAGTCATAGTCGATATCGAAGTCGGCCGGGTAGACGCTGAGTGTTTCTGAGCTCTCGTGATGGATGCACGGCTCGTCACCTAATGGGCTGGGTGTTAATGGACAGTCGTGTACAAACGATCAGGGCCGACTTACATAGACAGTCGTATAGATCAAACTGATCCACCAGGATGGTGCTCTCTTCCGGCTCGTCCCGTTCCACGGGTTCCTCTTGCACATCAGGAAGGGGGCGTTTGGACGACTTTGTATGAGCGGTTGAAGTTGGCGAGGACGGGGTGTCGTTCAATAATGGCGGGGGGAGATCGAGAGATGAGGTCGAGCTGGAGTAGCGTAGATGTCCTCGAGTTGAGAAAGTCGGGGTGACAGGTGACGCAACGTCAGAAGAGGACGAGTTTGTTGTGCAGTAGACGTACTGGCCGTCCATATCGCCTTCTGGGAGGGCGGATTGGTCCTCAAACTTGCGGCGCTCTTCAACGAGTTGGGGCAGCAACAAGGGCTTCAGCTTGGGCGACATGGTGTCTGCCTCGGCCTGGAGCGGCGCTGCCTCAAGCAGGGAGATGGTGTCGGGCAACGTTGTAGGCGTTCAGGGTGTGTGCGAGTGATGTTGTTGGAGTAAAGTGTGGCAGCGGGCGAAGAGGATGGTTGGGTGAGACGAGGCAATTATGACGGTGCTGGAATCGGAGTGGCGACGCTGTACCTCGTCGAGCGCGGTGGGGCAGGCGGAGGGTTTAAGAATGACAGCAGGGGGGGAAAAAAAGAGGGAAAAAAGTACAATGCGGTGACAGCTAGGTCAAACCAAGAGGCAAGGCAGAGCTTTGTCAGTTTGCTGTCATAGCCAGGCACACCTTGGTCGAAGCGTTGGATGCTTCAAGTTGTGTAATGTTGTCGTGGGGTGGTAGTGGGTTGGAGTTGGGGGGCTGGTGGTGTAAGTAGTGTTGGGGGGCGTATGTACGATGTACTTGGTTGGTTGTCGACGCCACTTGGATGGTTATTGTCAGCGGAACCTTTCAACTCCACATTCTCGTGGTCCTTTCTGCTTCCTTGCTCGTTCGAGTTCCCTCGGGGAGACAGCGGTAGCTGCGAGGTGATGTTTCGAGATAGGCGTCCGAGGCGGTGATGAGTATCGCGGCGATGAGTCTTGCACCGCGCGGTAGGAAATACCCTGGTATTCTCCAATGAGAAGGTGATGAAGCACTTGGGTGAGCGGGTTGTCAAGGGCGGTAAGTCGTCCCACGTGTACGACTACGGTTCAAGGGGCCTCGGCGAAAGTTGCGGTGGTTGGGCGCGAAGATGGGGAGACAGCAGGAATTTGTATATGCGTGCGTTGTTGTTTCCTCGGGGCAGATAGCTCGTGTGCCAATCAAACCAGGCAATGACGGACCCAATGCGACACTCGAGTTGATGGCTCCGGGGTTTGCTGCAGGGCGGCCACGTGAGGGGATGTGACAGCGGTGTTCAGAGGTCGCGGGAGGTGTAGCAGTTTGCAATGCAATGGGCGTGATGCTGACAAGGTGAGGCGGTGGACGATATACGAGATGCCGTGGGTTTGGTGTGCGCCGAACAAGGGCAAACGGAAGTCGGACGACAGGCGCTGATTGTTGCTGGAATATGCTTCTGGCACCGAGAGAAGAGAGACGGAGAGATAAAAACGATGAAGGACGGCTTCCTAAGTGGTTTTCTTGCACAAGGTGGGTGGGCGAGGGAAATGTATGGCCGAGCGGGTGTGCTGTGCAGGGTCGGTCGGCTAGGCGTGTTGGCGTCAGTAAGGTCGATGTGGATGGAGGGGATATGGATGGGTGACGGGGCGTACAAGGGTGTGAGAATTTCCCAGTTGAGCAGAACATCCAGGAAGAGAGACACCGAGCGACCTCCTGCAAGGTGGTGGAAGTGGGTGACGAAGAGTGGGCTTGACTGGAAAGGCGTTAGTGGCAGGGGGGTGTGGAAAGAAGAAGAGGAAAAGAAATACCTACGTAGTAGGAAGATTGGTAGGTAGCACGATAGAAAGCCAGGGGGGTGGTGTGCTCGAAGGGCCGGGAGCTAGGATGATGGTGTGGGGGGGGGAGGGAGGAAGGCTCGGAGGGAAAATGCAACCTAGGTATCAATTCGAGCTAAGTTCGTTCCTTCCTGTTATGTTGTTTTTCTTTTGGGGTCGGTAGTTTGTTCCTTCTTGTTGTTTTTGCGGGGGAAGGAATAGATACCTACGTGGACGGATGGATGGATAGATGGGAAGGCACAATGGAATAAACTTACTATCTAGCTGCCAACTTCCGAATGACCAGCTAGCTCCTGGTTGTTACGATGCAGCAATATGCAGAGTGAAAGAGTGATTACGGACTTGGAGAGGAGAGAGAGCGAGGACGTCAAAGTGAACCACTTGCTGAGGAAGCAGCCAGGGTTGGAAAGCTTTGAAGTGGTGTACGTACTCCCAGTACGTATCCTGAGGGCCTTCCTTGCATCGCGAGCTCTGTTCCTTTCAATTCCCTGTCCTAGCCCGAAAAAGAGGTACAAGGGTACAAGAGGAGGTGAGAGGGGAATGAGCGGATTGGGACGAGGTGCGCGACAGGCGGCAGGGACTGACTACCTACCTACCTAGATAGGTAGGTAGGTACCTACACAAGGTACTCACTTGCTTACCTTTTTACCTACGCCTACCTAGTTGTACGGAGTACGAGGCCACTAACCAAGGCAACAACCAACTAACCGGTCTCCTCCCTTCCTCCCTTCCTTCCTTCTTCCAATTTTACCTTCTGTGGATAGATCTAACAGTGGCTTGAGGAAGGAACGTTCGAGACATCAGATCTAGAGGTGAGAAGCCGCGAGGAAAGAATACAATAAAGAAAAACCGAGAGCAGGAATGAGTAAAGGTAAGCGGAAGAAAGAACGACGAGAAGGACGGGGGACAACATGGGCTGCTACCCTACACTACTCGGTCGTTCAATACCTCGACGACAAAAACCCTCCTGTCATCACAACTTGTCTCCCGGAACGACCATCTACGGAAACGGCTGCAACAGCGCTCTTGCTCTTGCATTGGCGCAAGCCTCGTCCGTTTCGCCTTTTTATCCTCTCTTTTGTTTGTCTCTGGCAGCACGGCCGCATCCCCCATTCCGTCTCCGTGTGTGTGTCTCTCATTCCCTCCCTCTGCTGCCTCAACTTGCCGGTCCTCACGTGTCCCAGAAGGCAAACAAGAGCGTGTTAGTCCCGGTCTCTGCCACCATAGAAGGTTCTATACTAAGATACATAAGCCTGTGCGATAGCTGGCGCTAAGCCGAATTCGGGTCAAGCCTCTCCCTCCTGGTCTGTGTTTGCGGCCCCGACTAAGCTCAGGCGCAGTGTGGAGGAGAGTGGAGGGGTCTCGTCCCCCTCGAGCCGTCCTCATGTCTGCCGTCCTGTGTCGCTGGCCGTTTTTCTCTGCTTCTGGGTCGCCGGGGAGGAGTCTTTGGGCCTCCCTGCCGCCCAAGTGAGCCCAAAGCCTTTCAGGGTTTTGCGCCGCGCAATGTGCCGGGGCCGCAGTCCCATGCATGTCCGTGTCCGGCGATTTCTGGCCGTTGATGTCCAGTCCTTGTACTGCACGTATCACCTCGCAGATGGTGCAAAGTCTGATGAGATTCAGACCCTTCAGAGACGATAGACCCCACGATGGCCGACGAAACGGCAAGCGGGCGCCATCATTGGCATTTGATAGACCTGACTTCGGCCCCGGCCCCCAATACAATACACCGGCGGAACGGAGTGAGAGACAGTGGCCGCCAACTTGTCTCTCCTTTTCTCTCTCCTCTTCCCTCGTATCTTCCTCGTACTCTTGGTTGTCGGCTCAACCTTGTCCTTGGACAGAATGCGAACCCGAGTATCCGACCGAAGGGAGACGATTCCGAAAACCACTTGCAGGTGGACTGCGTCACCACGCTGGCAACGACATAGCAGAGCGCGGTACGGATACTCGCCGCTAGCCCACCAGAGCTAGTCCGCGGGAGTGGTTCATCGGGGCGGGCTGTAGTTGCTTGGTTTCATGTCCACGGTCAGTACTACACCGATGACCACATGCACACGCTGAATGCATGCATCCTACCGATTACAGGATACGTACCCATCGTCGCCTTAGAGTCTTTGAAAGCATAGCATCACGGCGCTCGAGAGTGTACCTACTGATATCTGATCCTGTGGTACTACCTATACCTACCGGTAGTATCGCCCAGCACTCGGCATGATATCAAGATGCAGCCTGGTAAGGACGTAATGCAGTTAGTAATAGGGGCACCAAGATCCTGACAATACCCAGTAAATTAGGTATTCCGTCAAGTCTCAGATTAGCCACGCGGCAGCCATCCGGCAGTCGATTTCGCCTGTCATTTCGCCCTCTTCCGCCTCTGTGCAAACGGCACGGCGGGTGCCAGTCGCCGGAGATAAAAAAAGGGAGCGGTGGCTAGGGTTCAGCGCCCTTGCCTTCTTTCCCCATCTTCCACGCGCCAGATAACTGGTTGGTCTGTTTGTCTTGCTGGGTAGAAGCGGGAGCCTCGACGATGAACACGTCCGCTTTGCCTGAGGTACACCGACAAGCCCAACCCCCCCGTTCCCGGTCCTCTCCCCCAATATCTCCATCTTGTCTCCTCCGTTCCCCTCTCCTTCCTCGCTCATACGGGCATCTCTCGCTGTCAATGGTCCTCCTTCTTCTCCTTCTTCTCTTCCTTGGCCTTTGTCCCGCCATCGTTTGTGCGACCCTGCTTTGGCACTGTTCCTGTTGCTCCGTGGGCGTTAACCCCAAATTCGTTTTGTTTTCACCTGTGCAGCCAGGGATTGCAGCTCGGTCTTTCCCCTCCCCCTCCCCCTTACCTGGTCGACTAGGGTACCATGCCGATCAACAGTTTTCCTCTGCTTTGACTGGAGCGACAGTTCTGGTCAAGCGTCCTATCCCTCCCTTGTGTTTTTCCCTGCCCCATCCCTGCACGGATTGCGATTCCGTAGGCCGAAATAGGGTAGCCGGGAGACGCTTACCACTTTTGCCAGCCACTGACAGCAACAACAACAACAACAACAATACCAGCAGAACCCGAAGCTCTGGCCGATGCAATGCACCTTGGGAGGAGCAATACGTACCGCTCGGCACATTTTGCTGGGCTACCGCAGTGTTCTGGGCCCTCTCCCTCTCCACTCTCATGGAGCTCGCTCAGCGCCGGCTCCAAGGGCCTGGTGGACATGACAAGCAGCTGGTGATGACGGCCTTGGACGGTATGCCGGCCGATCTGTACAACAGGTATACGCGCAGACGCATTCAACTATGCACAGTGATCTAGACATTACGAATGTTGCCGTGCATCGGTTCTGACGAGCCCTCGGTCAAGGTGCTGCTCTGCTCCCCGACATTTTTGCTGAGAGGCTGAGACTTGTCTGTCAGTGAACCCAAGACCAAACGAACCGGTTCGCCTTGGCCTGGGTTTCCATGCAATAGGAACTGAGCACAGGTCAAACTCAATGCCATGCCATCCGACAAATCAGGCAAACAAGGGACGACATGGA